AAGTCAACCCCCAAGGAGGAGCTTCCGGAGGAGCTTCAAGCCCGCAAGCTATGCGCGCAATGGGCGGCAGGCTATGCCGCCGCTCCGGCAACCGTCGTCGGTGAGTGGGCATTTGCGCTGCCAGAGCAAGGCTTCTACTTGGTGCTGCAGCCCGACTGCATGTGGGTGTGGATGCCTCACAAGCTCCACGGAACGGCGGTGCTTGACATGTCCAGGGGCAGTCGCCACACGGCTGTTGTGACGCTGCCCCTGGCGACGGCCGCGGCCATCCGGAAATACAGCCTCCCTGATGAAGATGAATAACCCGGCTAAATAATCCTTCCCCACAGTCATCCGTTCGGACCTTTTAGGTCGTCGGTCTAATATATAGCAACCCTCCGCTCTCTAACTCATCATCCGCTCGGACATTTTTGGTCGCTGGTTGTTAGTGTAGAAATGAATGCAATGTACACAAGTCGCTACCCACGACGGTCTTCTGGAAAGCCTTCCTGAATGACACACTGCGTTCGAAAACTGTTAGAAACGTTCGAAGCGAGGCGATAATTTTATCCTGGGGTCCACCTGGGGACCCGGACTTTTTCTTCAGGGTCCTTTGAACGGGCAGAAAAGCCAGCGCCGACCGCCGGCATTCCCAGGCATTACCTGTACTGTACTCCAGACCGCTTCAAGGTATTTCAAGGTAGCGGGATGTGCCTTCTTGCCCCCCGATCCCCACCCACTCTCTCTCTCTCTCTCTCTCTGTCTCTCTCTTGCGCTCAGGTAACCTCGGGCATACCTCCACGCCGTGCATCTACTTGGAAGGAACGGAGCGGTCCGCAACACTATAGGTGAGAATTAGATGCAGCGATGCTCGTCCACAGCGCTATCAACTCGCGCTTGCTTGAGGCAGCTCGGAATAGGAGCAGCCTCGCGATATGCTACCCTCTCAACTCGACTAGCGCTTGCTTGAGGCAGCTCGGAATAGGAGCAGCCTCGCGATACGCTACCCTCTCGACTTGACTGGCACTCGCTTGAGGCAGCTCGGAATAGGAGCTCCCCCTTTGGGAGCGCTAGCGAGCAACCTTCGCGGGCGAAACCGCGCTGTATATTATAAACGATAAATAGATACATATGATCCAGCACATCTTTGGACCCAACGACGCCGGATCCCGCACGGCGAGACCCGACTTCGGCGATATGGTAAATGAGATGCACTACCATTGCATGAAATGAGATGAGCTGCGGGAGCCCGTGCGCGATCCGACCCAAAGATGGCGGCGATATGAGAGATGAACGGTTTGACGTGCGGGGGCCAAATTTCTCCCCAAAATCCATTGAGGGCTGACTAGTACAGCGTGGGGAGAGAATTGGTCCCTCGACGCGACGCACTTCCCGGTTGGGCGTGCGGGCGCCAAATTTCTCCCCAAAATCCATTGATGGCTGACTAGTACAAGTACTGACGCCTTCCTGTCAGTCGAGCAGCCACCTCAAGACGCATGGTTTGAAACCAAGCCGCCATCAAACTTCCGAACAATCCCGTGGATCATCAGCGAACGAAACACATTGACGTTCGACACCACTTTATTCGGGAACTTGTAGCTGAACGCAAGCTAGATATTCAGTATATCTCAACAAAAGAAATGATAGCGGACATCCAAACGAAAGCTCTTCCAAGACTGGCCTCTGTTTATTTACGGGAATTATGTGGGCTACGACAGTAAAGTGTACACTACACGCCGTATTGTTAAATAATGGCTCTTCGGAGCCAAGTGAGCGGCGGAGTGTCAAAAGCTACATGACACGACGGACACCGAACTTGATTTGACGGGTGACGCCGAACAAGATAAATGGAGCATCCATTGCATATGGTGCAGTTGCCACACGAGGTCACCATGCGACACAAGATGGGATTAGTGCCGCACATGCAGCACTGACGATTGTGCCGGTCCCAGGTTAAGTAAACTGGCCACGGGGCTCTAAGAGAAGCAATCAATACACGTTTATCAGTTGAATTACCTCCTCTCACCACTCACCGACAAACGCCACAGCGTGGGGCGTGCAAATGAGACACCATCTCCTGGACGATGCACGTACGGCAAGATAGGTGCCCGCACGGCCCGTTGTAGATGGCAGGGTTGACCATACAGATCGGGCAAGTTGGACCACCGTTCGGCATCTTGATTGTTATGATCTTGACGACGGAGGCGGAAGCAAAGTAGAGAAGACAGGGCGGGAGTGATAGGCGACAAGAGCTTGTATTGGCGAAACAAGAAACAAGGACTAGAACAGGAGATGAGAAGAACTGGTGTTGACCTGCTGGGGAGGAAGGGAATGGACGAAGAGAGGCCGGCTATTTTTAGATAGGCAACCCAGCAGATCAGAGAACAACAACAACAAGAGGGGACTGGGGGGCGCCAGCTATGCTCCTAGAGCGTGCGTGGCGAGCGTAGAGAGCATTGCTACAGCTGCTGGCTATGGGGAAGCAGTGGGGGGGTGTGGAGAAGCCGAGGGGGGATTGGCGAAATGAGAGGAGAGAGGAGGAGTGGCGATATTGCAAGAGGATTGGCGAAATGAGAGGAGAGAGGGGGAGTGGCATTGACATTGACATTGACACTGACATTGACACTGACATTGACATTGACGTTGGCGTTTGACATTTGGCGGTTGACATTGGCGGCTGTCAGTAGGTAAGCTTATGGTATGGGCGCGTCGTCCATAACATTGATGGATTGGTTGGATTTGGGTGTCGGAGAGATAGAGTGTGTTGTTGATTGGAATGGAGTTATGAGCGGGAGTTGGACAGGCTGACTTTTGGACAGCTCGAGTCGGGGGAGTGTTGTGCAGAGACGCGAACTATCCTGCCAGTTGCTGTCATTGTGTAAGCAGACGCGTAAGCAGTCTGGTCACGGTCAGAGAGACAAAGACCCCGACGCCAGAGTCCGGAGTATATAAACATACAACAAGTAATACAAAAAGACCAGTAATGGTTCTACTCTTCATCGGCTACTTCCCAGTAATAACTCAACACGTTCTCCAATAAGACCGGACAACCCAACACGCATTACACGTTTCCCCGGGATCCCTATGCTCAAGCATCGTACAACGTTGTTATCATATGTGTGAGGATATCTCAGAATGCTCTACTACGTATGGGAACCCCAGGGTCCTGCAGCCCGTACTTGTGTAACCCCACGTGTACTGACAGTGCTTTTTGACAGCGAGATGAGCGAGTCTCGACTCAACACGTAGCTGGGGGATCCGTTACGGGGTTTGTTGTCCGAGTGGTTGTGCCGTTCCGCACGGCGGTTGGGCGAGTTCCGGCTTTGCGGCCGTCTGTTCCGACACCTTCCCGGGACTCTACAAGCGAGAGAGGAGCAACTGCCGCTACTGATACGCACCGGACTTTTCAACACCTCCGGTATGTTCTGATTCCCTTTACTAAGTTGACTCTGCCGCAGTGTAGCCATGGGTTCAGATTCTTAGCCATGGGACCGATCCGCCATGGGTTTTAGCTTCTTTAGAACGCTTCCCTTCCGAAATGAATCGGAACGCGTGAAATGTGGAATGTTCTTCAACCCGGTTGCCAATCGTCCCGCGAGTTCGCGGGCTGGCATGCGGCGTCAAATGCGGGCGGCCGCAAACAAGAGCAAACAAAGGAGGACGGTCATCGATCACCCGCCGAACGGAACCGTAATAAGAGAAATGAATAAACGGGACGGTCATCGATCACCATCCGAACGGAACCACAAGTAAAATGAATAAACGGGACGGTCATCGATCACCATCCGAACGGAACCACAAGTAAAATGAATAAACGGGACGGTTGTGGATGCCCACGCTGAGCCGGGCAAGGTGTTCCTGTTCAACTTAGACAGACTTGGGCATGGGCGAGCACGCAGCATCGTGCCCGTCACCAGTCCGTCTACGGTACCTTACAGCTACGTAGCTACCGTATGCAATCCCTTGAAGAACCGTGTGGAAGGCAGTCCACATCACATGGCAGCAACACCGCGTCCACCTTGAGAAGCTTTGGTCAACGGGAGCGTGAACCTCCAGCATCGCAACTGCGACCCCACCTACCGGCGTTAAACGAAGCAGATAGACCTCCAATCGCTTGGGAACCTCTTCAGGACGCTCAGAACAACGTCCGGAAGAGGCCTCATCGCTCCTACTTCGTTGTGGGAGAAGCAACGCATCAAAAACAGGTCCCGCTAATGCAAACGTACCAGAAGCATCACATCAACTTCTGACACACAACGACTGAACCAAACCCGTTCCGTTGTTGCGCAATACGAAAGCACTTTTGTGTGGTGCCATACACGAAGATTCAGCTCGATTTGTTCAGCATCCCCGCCGTAGTGAACGAGAACGTACCCTCTATTGGCCAGACGAAGCTCGTTCGCGCCGAAAGATTCCCTGTCCGGGCCACCTTCCAGTTCTATCGAATCACGGACGAAGAGGAATCACTGGTCAACTTTTTGCAGAGATTTCTGGAAGGATCGACTCTGTCTATGTGATGGCTAAAGAGAAAGGACGCTTGGTGATTGATACCACCGCGCGCCTCACAAATCAGAAAGCAGAGACTCCATTCGACGTCCATTGCGCAATCTACCACGGATCTGAGTTTGTCGGTTACGCTCACTTTTGGTGTTCACAGCAGGTCACTATCGGGTGGATCAAGTCTGAGATAACAAGACGTATGCCGCAAGAATTCTCATCCTTGACCTATGAGTTCCGAATCAATCCATACGATACTGACTATGGAGATGGAGGCATTGTTGAAATTTTGAAAGATGATGAACGAACCGCTTCTTCTTACTCATGTGGTACATCGACACCGTCACATTGAATCTTGTCGCTAATACAATGACCTAGAGACCCATCTATTTTAGATGGAATTATGGGCCATCGCATAGGGTCTCACGATTCCTCTGTCGATATAATAGCTGAATACTATCAAAATGCTAAGGATACGGGATGGTGATAGATGATGGCCGTGAAAAACTGTTTATGCACTTGCAAAAAGCTCGAAAAATCTACGGGTTAACAGTCGATGACAGAAGGTGAAAAGTCGCCCGACGAAACGCGCGAAGCAGCGTAAAGCCTGGCGCAATGCTACCTTCCCCTACCTTCCCACGACACCCACAACCGACGAATCCACGATCACAACAACGCACCCCGGCGGAGCACCATACTGTACATATTCGACGACGACCACCACCGCACGAGCCTCACGGAGCCTCCCGCGATGTCGACCCGCAGTGCTCGGCTTGAAAAGGAAAGGGTGGGGAACGGCGTCCCCGGTCCACCATCGGCGTATTTTCCCCATCTGCCATCCCCTTCATCTTGAACGTCTCGAGAGCAGCACCGTACCAGCAGCAATAGAACCTTTCGCGTCGACCAGTTCGCCCGCTTTCGCAGGTCGTGGAGATGAGTCCGTTTTCTACCATCTCCGCCATCGGTTCGCTGGCGCTCGCAGTCAGCACCCTGGCGGCGCCGCCCTCGAAACCCAGCCCCATCTGCAAGTGTCTGTCATCCGGCCCGTCCTGCTTTCCCCCAACCAGAACTCTTGACGCCTTCAACAAGACCATAGAGGGACGTCTTGCAAAGATCTCACCTCCCGCCATAGTATGCTATCAAGGCCCCGAATTCGATGCCGCCGCATGCGAGGCCTTGCGAGCCAACGCCACAAACCCTTACTTTTGGGGAGAGCATATTGGGGCCACGATGTACCCAAAGACGTTGGGCGGCGAGTTTGGTGTCAATGTTTGTCCAGCTTCATTGAATTCCTCGCTTCCGGACTCTGCATGCGGACAAGGAAAAGTGTCCTCTTTCGGCGTTGATGCTCGCACCGTGGAGCACGTTCGGAAGACCGTCAAGTTTGCTGCAGCCCATAACCTCCGTCTGACCGTGAAGTCCACCGGCCAGTTAGTGCAAACCGCTTTGGTCATATGGGGCCCCATGTTCTTCAATCTGATATCATTTCATCTGTTCCTAGCGATCAAGCTGGCCGCAGCTCCGCAAAAGGATCTTTCCTTCTGTGGCTTCATCATTTGCGCGGAATCGAGTTTGTTGACACCTTCATTCCGGAGTCTTGCACTGCTAGAGCCGGGTTGCCTGCCGTGACCGTCTCCGCTGGCGAGCAATGGGGCACTCTTTATGAGCAAGCCGAGGCCCGTGGCCTTGCTGTTGTTGGGGGCGCCGTACAGACAGTCGGGGTTATCGGTGGATACCTTCAGGGAGGAGGACACAGCCCTTTGTCTCGTAAGCATCAATTTCACTTTCCTGCGTTTTGCTGACGGTATGAACATGCGGCTGATCGGTCTCACCTGCGATCAGGAACCTACGGAATGGCGAGCGACCAGGTCCTGGAGTTCAAAGTGGTTACCGCCGACGGGCAGCTGCGCACCGCTAACTCGTGCACCAACCAGGACATCTTCTTTGCTCTGCGAGGTGGCGGCGTTGGATACGGCGTCGTTACTTCCGCTACGATTCGGACCTACCCATCTCCAAAGACGGCCCTCGCTTTGTATACGATTGAGGCAAATGCCGGAAACATCACAAAAAATGCTGCCCTCCTGCGCCAAAAGTTTGTCGACAGCCAACCCGAATGGGACAAGATCGGACTCTCCGGTTACATCGGCTTTGGTTCGACAACCCTGTGGCTTGCATTGTTTCAGCCCAACGGCAGCAATGCTACCATTGCCGCTGCGCTCAAGCCGTTATTCGATTTTGCGGATCCAGCGCGCTTTGCGGTCGCCGGCGTATCCTTCGGCTCGCCCACCTTCTATTCGGCGTACCGCATGTTCAAGTGCTACCTTAACAAGGGGTTGTGCACCGATACGGTGGGCGAAAACGGGGCGCTTGGCTCCCGTCTCATCCCAACCAAGCTGTTCCAAAACCAAAAAGGCCGCGACAAGGTCGGCGCGGCCCTCTCATCGATTCTTGACATGGGCACCAACTTCCTGGTTGTGCATTTTATCGCTGGCGGGCAAGTGTCCAACTTCCCACCTGATGCGACGGGTCTGAATCCTGCGTGGCGACAAGCACTCTGGCACGTTGTTACGGCCAACTTTTGGGCCGACGATGCCAATGCGGCTCAGATTTTGCAGAAGAGACGTGCCACGACCGCGCAGACAAAGGTTCTCGCCAAGCTCTCGTCCCATGCTTACATCAATGAGGCGGATGAGGCCGAGGCGGACTGGCAGAATGCGTTCTATGGCACTCACTACAAGTACCTGCTCCGGATCAAGAACAAGTATGACCCTGCGGGGCTTTTTGTATGTCATCAGTGTGTTGGGTCGGAACGGTGGTCTGCGGACGGGAATTGTAGAGTGTAGTAGGAAAACAAGTGGTTACTTTTTTTGAAGATCAATGCTACTATGGAACCTGTTACCTACGTCTATTGCAATGTAGTTTACAGTACATTCACATCCTTCGCGCTGCAGTATGAGCCCAGAGAGCCTTTGACAGGCTAACCGACACCCTAAGTATAGTGCAGCAGCACACCGGGTTGCAACGTCGTCTATTCTTAGCATATCCCAGATATACTATATCTGCATCTACCCAATATCTATATCTAATCTGCATCTACTCCAACTGATATCTATATCTATGATCTCATTTATGAAGGATTCGACAAAGCCTTGAGAAGGATTCGACAAAGCTTCGGCAAAGGGGTGTCTCAAAACACGAGCGGCCGAGGTGTTGTCGAAACGTGTGCCGGCCGTCAAAGGATGCATGAAATGTCCGCATGCGAGCGGGAGTGTCGATACGAGGTCCTCGACCCTCGAAGCAGGACCTCATTGTCAATGTCGGACCTCAATGCGAGTGTCGGAGCAAGTCTACAGGGATATCAAATACAAAAGGCGCTCCTCACATACACTAGCGGCCATAGTTGGATAGGGTGAGGTCGTCGCGGCAAATGCTCGGCGCGAGCAGCCAAAGCGGATGCGCGAAGTGGCGATTCTTGGAGCAAATCTCGATGTAGTATCCAAGGTACCCCTCGGATCATCTGCCCCAGCCATCGGGTACGATCGAGCATTCGAAGGACAATCAATGCATCATCTAATGATGGGACTTTGGAAAGATTTCGTCGAGGAGTTGTGCGTCGGCTATAATCAAACGGTTGAAAATTTGGTCAAAGTGAGACTCGCAACGAGGAAAGCAAATGCCCTGCGTAAATTGTTGGAGTGAGTAGTCGAAGTAGGTATCCGACGAAGCGACCGTGTCGCTCGCGGTGCGGCAAGTGTCGAGGTGAGTAGTCGAAGCGAGCGGCCGTTGATGGATCAAAGTGGGTATTTTGGTGCAAGGTCGGAGTCGAGGAAACGTGGGCGGGACTCTAGGCGGGACTGGAGGTGAAAATCCATCTAGGCGAACAGATCAGGTAGATCCATCGGTTTCTCGTCTATCCAAGGTTCACCCAGTGAGGGATCCAAAAGCGACTCCGCTTCATACGGCCTCGTTCCGTAAAAGTACACGATCTTTCCAAGGAAGCGAGCTTCACCGATGCTATGCCAGCCCAGCTTTTCTTCAGATGGCATGTCGAAGCCACATTCTAGCATCATTTCCAATATCTCGTCAGGACGCGCGACTTGGTCAAGTGCCAGAATTGGAAGAACCCCTTGCCGACCGCTGTACACAGCGTTCTTAAGAATGGCTCGTCCATCTCCTTTAGTGCGCGACCAACGGCCAAGTCCATTGTCTCATTACCCACTTCGCTGAGCACACGTTCGGCGAATGTCGCGGTTGCCTCCTGATCTTGTTCGACGTCCCACTTTGCCGATTCGTCGTCCCCATCGCCCAGATCACTCGCATTCTCGATCGCCTGCAGTACAATGTCTTTGGGACTGGGCTTCAATAAGGCTCTCCAATGTTCGCCCATCCGCAGATCGTCATACACGAATATGTGGTCATCTGTAAGGTCGTCCATGGAGCAACCCACGTCGAGAATTAGCGTCAGATTGGCTGGATATCTGACATAAACGTTTTTGGCGACGTCCCGCCCTGATTCGGCCCATCCCCATTCAAGGGCGAATGGGAGACCCAGTGCTTCTCCGTCCCACCTGCTGGACAGTTTTATTATCCCCCGCTTTCTGAGGAATGTCTTAAAAACAAGCGGAGGTCCGGACTTGAGAAGGTCCATAATCACGTCACAAAGAGTTTCGTCGTGGTCTTCCGCCGTTTAGAATATAAATCCCTCATATCTTTTCAATCTCCCTTTGTTGCATCTCGACACTAACCACATCAAACGGTTCGTATCTTTATGATGATGGGTTCGCTGATCCTGAAGAGCACAGTACAGCCATGTGTAGATGACTTCTTTGTCGAGGTCTCCTAATATCCATTTGTAAGACTCGACTGGTAGCGAGGAGTGTAATATGAACCTGAATCAGAGCGTATCGGACAAGTCCCCCGAGAATAGATGTTCGAGTATGGAAGAGTTGCCGCTGAGCGCCGCGAAATCGCTGGCGTCCTGGTCGTCAATGATCTCACGATCCAGCAAGTACATCAAGAGCCTAGGCATCTCCGGATATCTCCCCATTTTGCCAAACACCAAAGCAAGTCCCAGTTGAATGGATAGCCCGTCAGAGCGCATAGGCGTAAAGTGAGGCCGAGATATCCCCTCTTGCACAGCATTTCAAGGTGACAGAACTTGGGTTCCCGACCGTGGAAGAGTAGCCAACGTAGGTTGTCCATGTTCTCGTCGGCTATAGCGTTCCTCAGCGTTGACCACTTGGTGATTTGTCTTGAACGGTGCGACTGAATGAATCTAACCTCGTGTATGTGTTGCGGACACACATGCCAGCAGATTTCGTCACGTATCTCCTGGGGCAGGAGGAACGGCGTGCTGTTTTCCCGGTTGTGCCGACGGTATATACAGCGCGGGCCGGCCGACGGGTACTGTGTGTTGCTAGGTGGTGGTGTGGTGTATGTATGTATCAAAAGTATGTGGGGCGGGGCCTGTCTCTGCGAGACTTTTGGTCAGACTCGTCCACCTACTTCCATCTGGGGGAAGGCAAAGAAGCAGGAAGCCGCAGAGAGGGCCAGGGCTTCCATCCTTTGTCAACTTGCTTGTCATCCCACCAACCATAAGGCATCTACTGCATCCACCTCTGGTCTACAGGCGTTAGGAGCCTCTACGCGCCCAAACATCGCTGAGCACCTTTTCCACAATCGTACGGCCTACCACGTTGACTCGCTCCCCCGGTCCCACCACAATCATATTCGAATCGGCCGTGCAGCGTGGTCCGTGTATGGATAATGTTGGGAGGGTTGCCTAGGACGGTGGGCATTGGGAACACCCCGTACCCCGGGCTAGAATTTAGACCCGCCGAAAGACGCCTAAGAATGCTTTCATTGTACAAAGATATTGTTGGACATTTCCATTGTATGATTGGCCTCCCGGGTTAGAGACCTTCACATGTATTTCAGAAATTATATGAATTCAACCTCATGTAGATTGAGCGCTCTCTACGACACCGTGTTCTCACGCACTCTTTATGACGGCGGGAGTATATTATACGTGCGTAACATTAGTGTCGTAGGACCGGCATAGGTTCCTCCAAGTACAATCTGTAACGGCGCTAATGTGTATGTGCAACTGTATATAGAAGGGCGAGGCATTCGAACAATGCTGTCAAAAGGCGCGTGAGGAATGTGTCAAAACGCGTGTCCGCAGGGACACAATCAGGATGTGCGCGCCGCAAGTGATCACGAAACGCCTCACTCCGACTTTGACTGGCCGTCCTTTTAGGTCCTTGCTCCTTTCCTCCTCGGTTTACGTCGTCTCGCATTGCTTCACTTCTGTCATCTGTTCAGCAACTACCGACCAACCAAGCAACCAACCATGCCAAAGGCAAAAATGACCAGATCGCCCAAGACCCAGTCACGGCGCAGAGAACACAACAACGACGTGCACCAACCTGGGCCCCCGCCCGTCATTACAGCCCCTACCCAACTGTCTGAAGTAAGTCAGTGTCCTTCACTCTCAACTACCAGCTCGGCGTCCCGCAAGGGCAGCACCTGGACAGACTTGGCCGCGGTGGGGTTGGTGTAGAAGAGCGCGGGGTCGGTGGCGGGGGCGTTCGTGGTTGTGATCTCCACGAGATGATCCACGTCCATTTTTGGGGAGGATCGGTTAACAGTGTCACAGGTTTCGTGAGACGGATGCAATGCGTCGGCGGCGACGGCGGCGTGTGATCTGACCCGCTTGCAGTCACGGAGGAGCCGTCGGAGCTTGTGGAGCTGCGGGGGCGGGGTACATTGTGAGGCAGAAGCGACGCGAAGACGAAGGCGGTGAAGAGCACGGTGGCTGGCGCTACAAGCGGATCTTGCCAATTGTGGTGGGAGAGAAACACGCGGAGATGGGCATATTAGCGTGACCCCGCCCGTTCAACCAGGCAAAAATACTGGATTATTCCCCGTGGCGCCAAGAAGCGTATTTGTTACCAACCCTCCACCCAGAGTTTTTCAGACATTGTTACTTTGACGCCTACCAATTTGTGGCCCGCGGAAGATATCCGTCACCTGGATCTCCACAATCCAGTGGTATCTGCCGCCTTTTCTCTGGCCGCAAAGATCCTCTCAAATCCAGCGACGCTGCAGGCTTTCGTCTTACACGTTGTTCCAAGAAGCACGAAGCCCTCCGAACGGACTCGCCCCGACTCCGACTATGAGGTAAAAAATTACAAGTTGGGCTTTCAAGGAGCATTTTATTACGATACTACTCGCTCTCTTTTGTATGAATAGCTCTTGGCAACCATCAAGCATACGCACATCGCCAACGAAATCCGGCGTTGTTTGCCCGTTATTAAGGTGCAAGACTTGGAGAAGGCGTACATGGTGTCAGAGATCGATCCCCAAAAGGAGAGAGACACACTTATTGTCCGCACAGAAGTATGGATCACAGTGTATCTCTCTCTGTTTTCCCGCTGCTACGTGTTTGCTGATGAAGTCCCCCATTCAGCTCGCATTGCTGTGTACCAGCAGTATATCGGACACCGAGAGGGTATATCTAGCGGTATTGTTTGGAATCAAACTAGCCCATGAAGTTGGGCACGTCTTGCTGTTTCGGTGAGTCACAATGGCTGCTCAATGCTTAGCGCCATCCAAGGTGCGGGCCCGTGTGAAAACCCCATCGTGGACCAGCTTATCGGTTGGGTGCTACTGGCCATTGGGACCCCTGTGTTTTAGTGGGCGCGCCGGCTCCAGGTTATTATACAAGGCTAGAAAAAGTGTATTGCTCATACGTTATTCGCCGGAACCAGTTCTGGATTCGGCGCACGGACGACGTCAAAGGGGACCGTGCCAAGGACCCCTCCCGGTATTATGGGAAGCGAGGCGGGAACGTTTTTTGAGCACCAATTCGCTGGTGGATATGTTACGCATCTCCGAGAAGCGGAGCGCCAATGGCTACACGTTAGTATTTGGTGTTTTGCATTCTTTTTATCTCGGACCATTGGTTCTCAATTTCACCCCGGCGCTCAGTGCATGGGTCTCGTAGTCAAGACCCGGGTGGGTACAGCGCATCTTGTCCCGCTATCGTGGGCAAAACAGCTGTTGAGGGAGGAGTTTTGGAAAGGTATTTCCGGTTGAAAGTTTTGTGGGGCTGGGACGGATTCCGTGTTACGTTACGGTACGTTGGCGCTCAAATATTTTTTCTTCCCCACACTCGGTCGTCAGATCTCACCCGCCTATCAGACTGTAATGTCCCGCTGGAGCAATCACCCGCCTTGCCAAACTCCAAGAAGTTGGTGTTTGCTTCCTCAAACGAGGAATTAGAATTGATGGACGAGGATGATGACGAATCAGAGGATGACGACGAAAATGTTGTTGAACTTCCGGACGGATGGGAGGTGTTCATGGAGGTTCACGAGAAAAGGGTGAAGGAATAAAGGTAGGTTTCAACTATAAATATCTGCGATTAAGGAAACAACCGCGCGGATTGCAGAAATCTGAACGAACGACTCAAACCCCACAGCTTTTGGTAGATTTAGCTCTGTTGCGTGGCTTGATCTTTTGGGTTGAAATCCCCTGGCAGCCTTCGGGCTGCCTAAAATGGCTGGCAAAGATCGCTACCTACACGTGGTGCCGGCTGTTTATGGCTAAATGCGATCAACGACTTCACAATATGGGAGGGGTAGGCGTGAATTCTTTTGGCACTGCGAGAGCCAGAAACATATTGAATCTCAGGAGAGTCTTGCATGGATTTCAAAATGAATCACTCATCCAACACAGGCTGGGTCCCAGACAGCTATCATGTGCAGTACTTTGTTTGGAAGCACAAAGCGGCGCCTAAATATGGTCATCCACAAGTGAGTGCCGGGTTAACGTTCAAACCTCAACTCAAAATGCTGGTGAGGGTTAGGAGAAGGGTTTCACCAAGCCTTTTTGCTTGGCTTGAAAACGCCGGTTGATAACCTCCCTTTTTGCCACCCCTTTGCTCTATAGATGAAGAAAAAGACATCGATGAAGATGGAAGAGGTGTCTTTCTACCACATTCCAATGTCCCTCTGGTGACCAAACTAATAGGGGACGACCAATCCATTTGTTACAATGCTCCGCAAATCGAACAACCTATTGCTGCTGATGAGGAAGATCTGCAGAGCGACACAATCGCAGCATATGGGTTGGAAATCCATTCTGTTGTGAATGGTGAAAAAGGTCAACAAAGCAGTGGTGAAGATAATGACAGGGATGTGGGAAGTGAGGAGGATTTTTTTAGACCGCTGAAGGACATGCCTGATGTGGATCGGGCGGAATTGGGGAGGGGGATCAAATCTGTTGTGAAGTTCAAGTGGTAAGTCAGTCGTTGCATCAGTGGGTCGTTTTCTGTCACATTCTCGGGTTTCTGCGTCTAAATTTCCCTGCATTAATTCAAACGTTTCCACAGTTACACCCTCCAGGATTTTGAAATGACATCAACTAATCATGCCGAGTTTCATGCCCTTGCGGGTTTTTTCTCTCGCCCGAGTGAGCCATTGCGAGGAAGTAGAGCACGGGACGCGCAGACCATTGCGAAGTCTCGAGAACGCATTTGCGGCTATTTGGGTTGGCTGAAACAATCGAAATGGAAAAAGCACCCGAGCTTTGTCGATTTCCACGATTTGGACACGTTCCTTGTAAGTCAGGGAAAGGATGCAACTGCTACATTCCCGGGAGGGGCACCGCGAACTGTCTTGTCTGTTCCCTTATTTCTACTCATGCATATTCATTCAGGACAAGTACATAGACGGCTATTTGGTCAGCATCAGCGGTTTGGCACATGGGTCAGTCGCCAACGCCATCACTGCGGCGATAGATGTCTTGAAGGATCTGCACGCACAGTCGGACGAGCCTTTCGCAAGATGCGAAAAAATCGCGAGGCTTGAAGAATCGAAGGAACATGGAACAGACGCTGGCTGATAGACAAAGGAATTTGGTCATTGGGTTAGGGGTTAGGGTTAGGGTTAGGGTTAGGGTTAGGGTTAGGGTTAGGGTTTAGGGTTTAGGGTTACAAGACCCCCTGGGTTGGGTTTTATTATTGGGTTGCCTGGAACCCTAGGGACTTAGAAATTTTCGAGTTTTTTGGCTTTTGGGTGTGTTCTACAGTTCAAATTCTTGACTCTGAGGGGTGTGGTGGCGGGGGGTGTTGCGCACCTAGGCAAGTCGGGGGGGACTAGGTGTGCAAGGGCAAGTGATGGGTCATATGGGTGGTGGTGCGGGTACGGGGGGGGGGGGGGCAGGGGTGCCAATAGGGGGGGGGGGGGGTTGATATAAAGGGGACATATATGTTATATATACGTTATAGGACTTGTGCAAATTGGGATTTTTTTAGTGCCGATCCGGAGTTGGCGTCCTAATTAAAAGTTGGCCCCATATCATATTCTCTAATTGAAGTACTCTCGGATTGGCAATCCGTGCGGAAACGGCTTCAGAAACTTAGAAAAACGAAATTTTCACGCGACAGGGGGTAAAAAATTGGAAAATGTGGTGATATCTCAACATCTGGCTGAATATCCAGTGTTGGGCACTTAATGAAAGTTGATTGTAGCCTATGGTTTGCATAGCTGATGTGGTAGCAAATCTTGTGTAACCTCGCTTTTGGCTGAAGAAAAGGGCCCCTTTTCAATTCTCAAGTAGTGACCCCCAAGACCTCCTAACAAAAGACACGAGTACGTATGTGCAGGCAAAGGGGTTTGGCTGTGTTCTCCAGTAAACATTTTGTGATTCCGCTGTGCATTGTAGACTGTTTGTAGGACCCTTGCGGAATGTTATTTACCAAAACTGTTGAACATTTTCCGGTTAAAGCAGTGTTCTACAGTTTGTCCATGCAGGTTAGAGCACGTGACCTGGGCTTGCTTGCAGGGTACGCAGAGTGAGAGGGTTGGGGTTAGAGATTTCCCAGATCACTTATTAAATTCAGCCAAACTGTCTCTGTCATGGAACATTTAAAATGGTGGAAAGTAGTATTGCATTTATTGATTTAGAGTACATTGGAAAAGCGCACATTCAGAAAGGGTTTTGGTGTAAAGTTATCAACGACATGCAACAGTACTAAAGGACTTCCGCAAGCATGTCACGGACTTGGTTCTGTCCAAAAGTCGTACGGCACTCAGGGTACCTGGCGCAGCGGAGACGGAAACGATGCTGACCGCCAATGCTATGAAAAGCTGAGCCTCCACAGTTGGGACATTGAAGCTGATCACGATGCTGATGGAAGAGTTCACGGATATTGCCAATGGGAGCAGCATCAGGCACTTCCCCATCCCCATGACCCCACCAAGCACGAGCAGGATCAATGACGGGTGCAATGCCTTTGAACCATCCGGGATTGAAACCAAAAGAGTTGAGAACATCTCGGAAGCGCTGACAGTCTGTCACAGTAGTCTGTCTATTGCGATCTCCTCTGAATAGAACTCTGGTGGCAGCGTCCATGATGCCATTGATGAGACTGTAGTACTCTTCCACCGGCACAAGCTTCAAGGAGTTTGCGCCCATGTGCTGGAAAATGGTCTCGATCTGGTCCAAATGGAGATTCAAAACCATCTGTTCCGCTGATTCCAACCTGGCGCACTGAACTCGCACTTCAACTCGCATGCCAGTAATGTGGAGCGGGTGACTGTTGAGCCATTGACGTAAACCTCTCAGTGTCTCACTGCGATCACCAAGGCTGGACTTGGTTTGGGGCATTCGCGAAGACAAAGTCGAAGAGTAGGCTTTGAGCGCATGAACAAGCTTTGGGTAGCAAGTAACCCGAACATTGGCGTGACCCGCAATGTCAAAGCGGGTGGACCCAAATCCCTCACCAAGGATGGTGAGCATGGGAAAGGTGGCTCCAACTCCACGTCCATTGTAGCGAACCAAAGGAATGACACCACATGAGTGTTAATGTCTGACCAATGTCCCATGTGTTCAGTGCAGCATCGGGATGGTTGCTCACTTCCTGATCAAAGGAATAGGCTGGCAAAGTCTGAATGCGTTGCTTCATTCCATACTGCACAATGCGTACAGAGGGTGACACAGCACCAATGATGTCCTGGAACCCAGACATCAACAGATTTTGCCGCCCAGCAATCAATCGTGAGTGATCCGTGCTTTCCCTCACGATGATCGAATGTTCATTGTGAAGTAACTCAAGAATCCTTGCCTTTGACTCTGGATTGAATGGAATGCTAATGACACAAGGTCTGCTAGCGATCCGCATCCAACCGGCGAAAGCTTCACTGTCCTTGATATGCTGCATCACTCCAGACAGTTCAACCAAGGTGAAGGCACCAAAGAGGGTGGTCAGCTTTGTGGTAGGGAGCGTAAAGGCCATCCAGTCCACATCAAAGTAGCCAGTACTGCGAAAGACCCCAAACTGCTCATCCTGAGGGGCAGGAGAGTGATGGTGTTCCTCATCTGAAGAGCTTGAGCGAGAAGTTGGCAACTCGATGTCCTCACGCCCCTCATCACTATGATGATGAAAGTTGGAGCCGTTTGAACCAGAAATGGACAACTCCACATTCAAACTTAGGGTTAGGGTTAGGGTTAGGGTTAGGGTTAGGGTTAGGGTTAGGGTTAGGGTTAGGGTTAGGGTTAGGGTTAGGGTTAGGGTTAGGGTTAGGGTTAGGGTTAGGGTTAGGGTTAGGGTTAGGGTTAGGGTTAGGGTTAGGGTTAGGGTTAGGGTTAGGGTTAGGGTTAGGGTTAGGGTTAGGGTTAGGGTAGGGTTAGGGTTAGGGTTAGGGTTAGGG